AGTCTCCACATGTATTGTGTAAGGTCCTCCTGGTTTACAGCTTCCAAGCAGCTCTCATGACCCCAGTCAACTAGACTGCTGAGTCTTTGGGCATAATCTATATTCTCGTGTTCTCCGAGTCCTTGTTCAGCAGCTGCTCCTCCGCTGGCTCTGGACCTTTCTGGTTCTCAATAGCAGGAGCAAGAGTGACCCGTTGTATGGCATGTATTCCCAGGGGTTTCTCCATGTTTGAATGATTCACACACGTCCGTGGGTGGGCATCTGCAGCCAGTGCATGGTGGGCCAATTGTGTCATTGTTTCATTGTCACGGCTGTTCTCAATTGAGCAGTGGCGGCCTGCCAGGAGGGCTGGTGTGCAACAGTGCTCGCTGCTGCGTGGCTCCTCCTGCACCAGGGGCCCTCCTTCCGGGTGCCTACTTGGCAGGGAGTGAGCCAGCCCGAAGACAGGCACTCCCCACCTGTGGCTCCCCGTGTGCCGGAGGCCCTCCTTCCGGGTGCCTACGAGGCACCCACTCTCTTCTTACTTGAAAGGTTTCTGCTGAAAAATTTGCTGATAGTCTAACGAAGAATCTTTTGTACATGATAAGTTGCTTCTTTCTTGGGGTTTCAAAATTCTCTTTTTCTCTTTGACTTCTGACAAATTGATTATAATAGGTGTCTTAGTTACTCTTCTCTCATTGCTCAGACAAAATACCCAATGCCCAAAGTTAAAGGAGGAAAGGTTTATTTAGTTCACAGTCTGTGGAGGTTTCAGTCCATAATTGGATGGCTATAAGGCAGGGTGGCACATGGCAGAGGGCACCAATTCATGGTGGTAGAAGACAGCAAAAACAACAGAGGGGGAGGGAGGGAGTGAGAGAGAGAGAGAGAGAGAGAGAAAGAGACATATACACACACACACACACACACACACACACACATACAAGTCTCTTTCTGTCCCTTATATTGTAAGTGGGCTACCTACCTGCCCTAGGGCAGGTGTAGCACTCACACCTTCTATCCCAGCATTGGACCATGAATCAATCACAACCTTAGATTCAGTCACCCCTGAGAAGCCTGTTTCCTATGACTGCATGAGGCTTGGAGGTACATCTGGACACAAACCAGAACAGTAGGTTTCACTGGAAATTTTTTTCATAGCTGGTGGATTTGTGTTTTGTGTTTCTATATATCTATTTCCTTCCCCAGTGTGTTAGTCAGATTTTTGTCACTGTAAAAAATACCTACCTAAGGTAAATTAAGTTTAAGAGAGGAAATATTATTTTGGCCAACAGCTTTAGAGCTTTTAGTCATGACCAGTTGACCCATGCTTTGGGTATATGAGGGTACGGTACATCACAGCAGAATTGTGCTAGAAGAAGCCTGTTCATTTCATGGCAGGACAGTTAAAGAAAAAGAGAGTGGTAGAGGCCAGGATCCCACAGTCTTTATTTTTTTACTGGAGATTGAATCCGGAGAGTGATATGCTACTTCCTCAGCCATTTTTTATTTTTACTTATTTTAAAAATTTGAGATAGGTTCTCACTGATTTGCCCACGCTGTCATCTCCTGAGTAGCTGAGATTACAGGGATATACCAGCAACCCTGGGTCCACAATCCTAAGAGAACACCCCCAATGGTGTAAAGCCTCCTCCACAGCCCAGCCTCTTAAAGTTCCTACCACCTCCCCAACCCCCAGGCCGGCGGCTGAAGCCATTAACTCAGGAACTACGGGGAGCACTCCAGATTCAAGTTCTTACACCCGTATTTGAGTTTTCGCCATAGTGTTTTGGCGTAAACTTTCCGCTCCTCATTTTGCACTTTTTCTTTTGAACTTCCCATAGCTGTCCTTGGCCAGCGTGATCCCATAATTCTTCGAAGATTTCTTTCTTCCTCTTCGTTCTTTTTCACCACTCTGACTGAATTATTTCCAGTCCCTGTCTTTGAGTTCACCAGTCCATTCCTCTGCTTGATCTGGTCTCCTGTTGCACTCCTGAGGTGAATTTTTCAGCTGAGTTACTGTGTTCCTCAGCCCCACTTCTTTTGGGTTTCTGTTTGGCATACTGTTGATATTTTCTGTTTCCTTGTTGGGATTCTTACTTTGTTCCTGCGTCATTCTCTTGACCTGAGTGAGGGTCTTCATGAGAGTTATGCTTAATTCTCTGTCAGGTAAATTGCAAAACATTCCTGTTACGGTTGGGATCCCAGACGGTTTCCCATAAGGCTCCTTGTTTTGAAAGCTTGGTTGCTGACCGACTATGGGGAAGCAATTTGATAATGAAGGACTAACTTCCTCAGTGGATTGATCCATTGAGGAGATCATAATTTGACGGTATTGTTCTGAAATAATGAAATTTGGAAGATGGAGCTTCGTGGGAAGGAGCAGGTCACTCGGGGTGTGGCTTTGAAGGTTGTATGGTGTTCCTAGGCTCTTTCTCTCTCTCCCTTTCCCTTACACTCTGCTTCTTGGCTGCCCTGACGTGAGTAGTTTTCCTCCACATGCCCTTACAACCTGATGCTTCTACCTCACTATGGGTCAAAAGTCAGGAATCCAGCTGGCCACGGACTGAAAGTGTCAGCCAAAAATAAGTCTTCCTTCCTTTCAGTCATGGGTGTCAGGTGTTTTGTCCCAGCAGCAGAAAGCTGAGCAACAATAATTCTTCCAGGATCATTTTCTGAGTTTCTTTCCCTTTGTTTGCAATGCCTTTGCCTGATGTTACTTTCCCTGGACTCTGAATTGTATGTACACACCAGACAGAGCAGGCACCTCACCCAGCCTGGACAGATTGGACTCTTCCAGAAAAAGACCCCCTCCAATCAGCCTGGCCTGAGAATCTGGGGACCTCAACCAACTCATTCCTTCTCTGGGAGTAATGCATAACTGTGTTTGTGCTGAGGTAGGGATGAGAGAGCTAGGGCATGTACTGGCCCAAGCTACCGCCTGTGTTCTCCGCGAGGCCACTGGATTGTGTTGGATCCATCAGAGACCCAGGACTTGTGAGATCATGCAGGTTCCTTGGATACTCCTCGAGAAGTTGAGTGCATAAACGCTTTCCCTCCTCAGGGGTAGACGGAGAGCTAAAATTTTATGTTTTCTTTGTTCTGAGTAGGGGAGAGAACCGGTGACATCTACCAGTCCACACTGCTGCTTCCATTTTCCTTTAGGTGGCCAGACCATGCCAAGACGTCTAGAGCTGGAGGAACACAAGACAGAGGCCAGTCCTCTCTGGAGCCCCGTCAGAAAGGTTGGAGTGCTGTGAACTACCATCCTCGGGGTGTGGATGGGGACTGGGGAGTCTCTTCTTGAGTGTACAGTGCTGAGCAGGATGTCTTCCCTCTCCCCTTTGGTTTTGGTAAGTCCAGTTTCCCATTTTCCTGGTGTGTGGGAGCCTTTGCACTAGTTCCTGAATTCTCACAGAGGGAATTTGTCCATGAATTGTTGCTGAACCAGTGCATTTGTTAGGGGAGGAGTATAGGTTTCCTACTCTGCCGTCTTACTGGTATTATTCTTTTTTTCCCACTGAAATGGAAATACTATTACTTTTCAGTGGGTGTTGAAACATATTTTCCCCTAAAATGGAGCATCAGCTACTCATTTAGATTCTCCCTGTAGATGACACATACTGGCAAAGAAAGGGTTCCTGGAAAAGATCACCTCAAAGAACATAGGTACACTCTATTAATATGTACCTAGGGCAATTTGGGAATCACAGGCAAGCTGACCAGGGCTGAGTTTCTAAAAGTTAGGTCTGAAAGTCTTCAACTGAAAAATGGATTCTTCAAAAAGATTATAGGATAACTGGTAGGGTAAGACTAGGTTACGAAGGGAATCAAGAAGGCTGATAAGGAAGGAGCCTAGATAAATTCAATTATTTTTCTTCTTCTCAAGGGAAAAAAATATGGAATCTGAAAAATTAGTATTAATCATCACAGGTATGCTCTCTAAAGAAAGTGTGATAGAGAGAATCATAAGCTCATATGATTTAGGCAGCACTTTGCTCAGAACTGTCTCCCTTCCTTTGTCTGAAGTCAATTTTTTCCTTTTGAAATAGTTCATAGTGACTGAACAGCTGCTATGTGTAAAGCACTGTGCTAGGGACCTTGGTGCCGTGGGAAATAAAATCGAACCAGTCGCTGGCCACCTGATGTTTAGCAAAGCTTACACACTGTGATGCCAGGAAAGTGAACACAGTTTTCAGAGCAACTTAATTAATTGGGATTCAGATTTATGCATCGATCTAGGAAGGCTTGATTAATGCAAGTCTCTGAGAGCCTGATTATCTAGAATATGAATCTAATTGAGATTCTAAATGCGCTTGGCCGAAGTATCATGCAGAGACCAAGGGAAGGCACCACCGCCCGGGACGGGGCCTGTCAGTACTTGGTGGTTATCTTCTCAGGGAACTAAGTAGAGCCCGGTCTCACTTACCACTAGGGAGTGCGTTCCACAATTCATGCACACGACCTCACAGATGCCCTCTGGGAGAGTGTGAACCATGAACATTGCTTTTGTTTGTTTAGCTCATAGCTCCGGCCCTCCCAGAAGGCCCCACCCCCTGTGTGTGTTTCTGGTGACAGCGTCTGTTGGCCTTCCGGTCTTGGTCCTGTTCTCACTCTGAGACATAACACCAGACAACTCTAAGGAGGGGAGGGTTATTTTGGCTCAAAGTTTGTCGAGGTTTCGGTCCACAGTCAGCTGGCTCCAAGGCAGAGAGCAGGCCGAGGGGCATGAGGAGAAACGGCTCATGGCGTGGAGGCAGGAAGCGGAGAGAGAGATCCAGAGAGGAGGAAGGAGTGGAGGCTTCCAGGCCACGCCCACAGCGACCACTTCCTCCAGCCAGGCCCCCCCAACAGCACAGTTAGCTGTAGATGCATCAATAAACGGTTCCGCTGATGGGCATCACACACCCGCGGCCCAGCCACCTCCCCCAAGCCCCCCGAGGAGCACCTGAGGCTCTGGGGGGACATCTGGGTATAACCCGTCATGCTGCCCCTAAAATTCCTGTGCTGTGGAAAGGTAAAACCTCAGGGAGAAGATGCTAGAAATAGAGATGGTAGGATAGGGATTCCTCAAATTAGGACTGTATCAGTCAGGGTTTACTAGAGACACAGATATAACACAAGGTATACAAACGTGTAAGAAATGACAAGTTTGCCTTACGATGGTCAGTCAGAGTTGGATGAGGAAGTGTGCACAGGGTGTCTGCACGCTGGAGACTTCAGAGTCTAGACCCAGGCCTGGAGCTCACTGCAGTGCCTGCGCAAGTCCGTGTCAGGATGGGTCTGCGACAGAACACTGAAGATTCTATGATTAAGGCCCGAAAGTCTACACCAGAAGGCTGAAGAGTCCCAGGCAGAAGCCAGTCTGCACCGGAAGCCAGGAGACAACCACCAAGCTGACGGCGCAGACTGGAGCTCCTGCGGGGAACCAGCAGCCAGTCCTTCCTTGTTTCCCTTTTATTGTGTGCAGCCTACCCTCCCTGGGGGCGGTCCTCTACACCCATACTATCTCCCTGCCTTCCTCCTACACAGGCTCAGGATGAATACAAAACAAGGACCCTGGCCCCCCACTGAGTCCCTTAGTTAACTTTCTAAACTTCTCAAATTGACGCAATGAACACATCCTAGAGCCCTAAGGGCGTGTCATTTTCACCCCAGGTTGCAGAACTGCTAAGTCACTTAGTTAAGCTTCTAGACTTCTCAAGTTGATGAAATGTATCAACCATAACCAGAAATGTTGGCATTTGAAAGCTGTAGGAATAATCCAGCAGTTATAGAAAGTGTAATTAAAATCATGATTTCACAGCAGTCATCATGCTTTTCAAATTCCAGACTTCAAGAAGGCATTTTATTTTTATTATTTTATATTCTGAAATTAACCAAAGCATTGATCTAAATTTACCACGTGATTTAAATTTCTTGAAAGTCGTGATACCCCCACAAATTATTCATTTACTCAAGATTCAGTGTTGCATTTATTGGCTAGTATAGTCTCTAATAAAACTTTATCGATTACTGGTACAAGTGATTTACACATTTACGTGCATTTTCTTTTGCTGCTTAACAAGTCTTAAGCCTTAAAAGATTAGATTTAAAAATTGCTTGAGAATAGTATATTTTACATGAAATGAATGATTTGAAAGCAACTGTAAAAGAAGCAAATTCAATTGCTTCTAGTTGGAATTGCTAAGTGACCATGTATATGATTTAAAATTGTGCTCCATTTTGACTTTGCAAGTTTTACCCATACTTGAGAACTCTATGTTTTCCTTAATTCTTCCCACCCCACCAGACAACAAGACAGTGCAAACACACCCTAACACACTTATGCTGGATGCATGCAAAGCATGTCCCCACAGCTTCCTTTATCTGGTTTATTTTTTTCTCATGGGGCACAGTTTTGGAAGTGGTCAATATATCGTCTCTCTTTGAAGGGTATGGCCCTAGTTGATTTTTTTTTCTGGTACTGGGAATCGAACTCACGACCTTGTGCTTGCCAGGCAGGCGCTGTGCCACTGAGCTAAATCCCCAGCCCCAGAAACATTCCCCCCTGTAAAACAGGACCAAAGAGGATGGGATTTGAACCCACGCATGCAAAGCACAATGGATTAGCAGTCCATCACTTTAACCACTCGGCCACCTTGTCCTACAGGCCCTAGCTGAAAAAGACCTTAGCCAGTAGTATATTCTTTGTGCCTATAGAAGGTATGCTCATTAATACAAAACATTTCATGTGAACATCGTGATCCAGTACAATAATAGTAATAATACTGTTGCTAAAGATTTGGTATCAGCCGGGCGTGGTGGCGCATGCCTGTAATCCCAGCACTCAGGAGGCTGAGGCAGGAGGATCGTTGCAAGTTCGAGACCAGCCTGGGCTACAAAGTGAGCTCAAGGCCAGCCTGAACTGCATAGTGAGACCCTGTCTCAAAAAGACAAAAAAAAAAAAAAAAAAAAGATTTGGTATCATATATTGGATACTTGGCTGTGTTATGATATCATGTTGTTGTGCTAGTGTCATTAATTTGCAATACGCTCAGAAGTTACAAAGGAAGTGGGCAATAAAATGCAAGGGCTTACTACCCGGCAAGCAAGCTGTCAGATGCTTTAAGTGTATGAATTTATTTACTCCTTTTGACAACCAGATACTGTTTTCCCCTTTTAAGAGGTAAAGAAAGTGGTGTCACAGAGAGAGTAAATCATTTGCCAAGCTTATGCGGCAAATCAAAATGTCAAGATCTGGACCCACGCAGTCTGGGGCCAGGGCCAGAACTCTGCCATTAAGCTGCGCCACCACCTGAGGATGCCGAAGACCCACAAACCCACCCCAGGAGAGCGATGGAGGATGATTTACTGTAGCTCTCTCTGAGCTCCGTGCCCTCAGTAGTGGGTTCCTAGGCTTGTGGGTGAAACCAGTGCTGCAGACAGTGCTGGCGGGCAGCATCCATACCGAGGGAGGAAAAGGTTCTCAGCTGTTAGACTCTACATGTCCTGGTTTTGTCACTAAGCCGATGTCTGCGGGAGGCGGATGTATCACACTCGGACACTAAGCGTCATCACGCGGCACCCTCCTGATAGTTTTGCTTTTCACGTGAGTCCGCCCGAAGGGAGAGGATGCTCCGATCCCGGAGGCAGCGATGTCCTCTCACAAGTGAACAGGATGGTATCTATCTGCACGTACCCTGCCCCGAGCATCAGCCGGGTCATGTACATCCCTCACCACCCTGCCTCAGATGAAAGGGGGAAAGTGGGGAGCCTACCCAGCTCATCCCGCTCCCTCGCGTCCTCCCTCTAAGCTTGGACCAAGCTACCGAGCCTTAGAGTTCCGACCCTCCAAGATTTTCCAGCTTCTCTCAAATAAACAGACTCTTGGCTACTCACCCTCCACTTCTAACCCGTATTCTCCAGCCACTCAGGCCTTTATTGAATCAAACAATCCTAAAACGACAATAATAACAGCGAGAGCAGAGCCTGCGGCCCAGAGACCTTGGACAACAACCGAGGCAACGCAGCTACAGGGGGGCGGGACCAAAGCCAGTCTCCGATTCTTGGCTCTGTTCTGCCTCCTGGTGGTCTGCTGGAGATAATTCGACTTCCAAAGTCCTCTCAAAACGGTTCCCCTCCCTCCCACCCTCAGAAAAAGAAATAGAAGAAATTAACTGACTCATCAAACACTCAGGAACTGAGTCAGAGAGAAACTCTGTTTTCCATATCATAGACCGATTTTTCAAACTAGTTCTTGCTCCACATATTTTGAGGAAAAATGACCCTATCAAAAATTCTTTCAGGGGCTAGGGATGTAGCCCCGTGGTAGAACCATGAAGCCCTGGGTGGGATCCATAGCATCACAAAAAGAAATTCTTTCAATGTAACTAGAATGCCACAATTGAATCACAAACAGAATAAAAGCCCCATTTGAAGATTATTTGGTATTCTACAAGA